GTCAACATTGTGAGATCGGAAAACCATGCTTATGAGGCTAAGAAAACAGCGGCAAGACATGTTCGAAGTGGTCGAATCTATGCCAAGGAACAGCATTGATTGGTTTTGCGCGCGACTTTGTAGAATTCCTACATATATAAAACACGCAAAGGTCATTCGAGGATCGCGAACGAAGAAAAGAACTTAGTTACGCGAGATTTGAAGCTGAGGTCGGAGCTTTTCTGGGCGAGACTGTCGAGCTTCTCGCCCCTGTCCAGGATGCTGTCGATCGTTTTGTGCTGGAAAATCACGAGCCATCAAACCGGGAAAGCTAAGAACAAAAACTCAAGGGAGGCTCTCTTTCACGCACCAGTATGACTTTGGTGTCGTCCAAGTCCTTGGTGATCTTTAGGATCTTGTCCACATTGACTGGATCCTAGAGAAAGAGGAAGGATGGATTCAAAGCTAGAGCAAAAAGAGATGGAAAGCTACCTGGAATTTCTTGAGAGCCTCGTCGAGCCATGGCCAGGCGTGCTGCTTGTCAGCCTTCAATTGCCTCCACGAGTTTCCAAACGTTTGCTCGTACTTGTCAAGCACCTGAGCCAGAGAAAGAAAAAACAACGAAGAAGACAAAACTTCGTCAAAGCTTCCAAAGTGTTTACCTCGCGAAGAACCAGGAAAGAGCTTGGATAGTGTTTATCGGCGAAAACCAGGCCACAAAGTCCATTCCGGTTGAAACTATGTACCGTGTACTGGTCTATACACAAAGAAAATGAAAAACAATCCACCACGAAAAGAAAGGAGCTCACACACGAAGAACAAACGATCTAGAAAAACACATACCCTGCTCCACCGATCGGCGCTCCCCCGGTTTGGTGCGCGAGGCGATGGTGCGCGCCGTGAACACGATCAACTCCTTGACGTTGGATCGATAGAAGATGCTGACATTGAGCTCGTAGGATCCAGCGAGAAGAAACGCCGAATCGGACTGGTCCGCCGCCAGCACCACGATCGCCGAGATCGCCATCCCGCTCTTTCAAGAGCCCTAGAATTTCAAAATTTAGGGGTTTGGGAAGCATATTCTGCTATAGTGGCATATTCTGTTCATATGGCTTTCAAACGCATATTCCGTTAAGCATAAAGATATTCTGTTATGGTTTTGTTTTGCCATAGATAAAATCGATACATTTACAACAAAACAATATAAGAATGAACATTAGCATTCCAAAAATTTTGCAAGTCGGGGAAGAATTTTCTTTCTTTTGCTACTTACGCGACCAGCCTCCGGCTACTCTCGATCTCTTTCACCATTCCACAGCACTTCTTCCACTTCCGCTGTGATCCGCAAGAACAGCTATCGTTTCGTCCCAGCTTCCTGGAACTACTGTTGCTGCTGCTGCTGCTGCCACTGTTGATCGATCTCTCAATCGTCGACACCTCGTCTCCTTTTCCTGTGATGATCTCTCGCTGCTGCCGCTCCTGCTGATCGCGGCTTGATCCTCTAGGAGACAGCTCCTCCCTGTTGGTGGTGTTTAAAACTCTCCTCACGGACCTGTCCAGAAATCCTTTCGCGAATACCGGCTTGAGCACAACCCCGTTCACTGCTTTCCTCGGCGGCTCTTTCTTCATGTCCTGGTTTCCATCCTTGGTTGTCCCCGACAAAGCTTGCTGCACGCAGGCTGTGCTTGTATGAAGTTCCCCCGCTGGTAGAGACAAGCTTTGATCAAGCTCATCCATCGACGGGGACGCTGGCTCCTCCTCAGCTCCCCCCTCTTTACTACTGGTTTCGTTACTCACTTCGTTGTCACCTTCCATGGAAGAAGAGCGCTCTTGGAGCAAGTGCTGCCTCTTGGATGGCGACTCGACTTTATCCGCGGCTGTCAAGCGTTCCTTGTCCCGCTGAGCCAGAGAGTATCCAAAACTCCTTGGAAGGTCGTCTGCTAGCTGATGAGACTGTGAAGGGGACGCTGGAGACTTAGCAGCCGGAGGACACGACAACGATCTCGTCCGAGGCGCGTCGGAAGTTTCTAACCTCCGCTTGGCAGCCTTCCTTCTTTGCGGACTTGAAGGTGAAGTGACCTCGCACTCTGCCAGCTCGTGAGACATCTGCACCTGTGAATTTGGTGACGAGATTCTGTCTATCTCCTGGGATGACCCGGTGATGCTGTCTGAATCGTCAAACCCGAGCTCGATAACCTTCTCGATTGTAGTGGTCTGCAAAGTTGAATACGAGGGCCCAACCGATTCTTCTACCAGCGAGTTATCGATCAAAGTTCCAGCTATTATCGGACTAACCCGATGGACTTGATCATGGACTTGTCCAATTGATGAACTCTGCTGGTACTTGCAGGAGGACGACGAGCACTTTCTCCCATTTGAAACCGATACATCAGTTATAGTTGAAGCCACAGAGCCAACAGCTGTTTCCGGACCGGGTCTTGCTGAAGATCTACGAAAAGAACACAAGTTAACCGATAGACCTGCGGAATTCTGGATACCTGCTGTACATCAGCATGTAAGCTTTCTGAGACATCACCTTCTCTGTATCGACCTCTTTCACCTACATAAATTGAACATCCACTCAGTAAAGGAGGAAACAACACAGTAGTAAGAAACTCTTGCCTTGCTATCGTCGACTTTATACCAAGTTCCTGTCATGTCCCGAACATAACAAATGTAATGGCCAAAGAAAGAAGCGTTTAGCATGTCGACATGTACAACAACCGCATACAGTCTGTAGAGGGGAGGTTTGTCTCCTTCTCCGCTCATGTACGGTGAAATGTTCAAGGCTTCCGGAAAGGTGACCCGTTTGTTTAGCTTCCCAAACTTTCCGGACTACACATAACACCGTGTTAGTGATCTCAAAACATTAAACAAAAAAGAAACAAAAAAAAACCTGGAAGCGTTTCAAGGCGATCGTAAGAATGTTCGGAGCTTCATAAACACTTAGACGCTTGCTCGCCTTCACATAACCGTTGCATCTGGAAAGCAGAGAATAATTCAAGAGTAGTACCAGGAAAATAATGGAATTGCCCAAACGTCACACCACCTATCGCATTTGTACTTGTTTTCGCCGTCTAGCCATTCAGGGGCTGTAAACTGAGCGAGTCCATCTTCTAATGATTCAACTGCACCTTGTATTTCCACGGCAAGATCCATCATGTTCTCGTAGCGATTAGACTCATGGCCGCATTGCATGCATTTCACCTGATAAACGAAGATAACTTAGCAAAGATTTAATGACTGTCTATTTCGTACCTGTGATTGAAGATGGCCACCAAATATGTACTGAATCAACGTTGTTTCTTGACTACGGGAATCTACTTGCTTTTCACCGCCAAACTGATCGAGACATATAGACTGCATCGAATCCACGGCGAACCTGCACAATATAATATTTTATAAACTCGCAAACAAACATCCAAAAGCCTACCGCATAAATTCATGCGCATCCTCCTGACGTCCATAGCCAAGATGATTACCAATGTCCCGCAGGCGTGACAAAATTCGAAAAGGCGAGAAAGGAACCTCGCTATTGAAGACCCTCAAAGCATGGTCTTGAAGCTCACACATAAAACACCAATCATTTCGACGGCCTGGAAGAGTAGAAATGTAAGATAAGATATCGAAATTCTAGTACTTACATTCAGCACGGTGACTTCCCTCAAGTAAATATGCAGCTAAAGGTCTTGTGTAAGAAAGACACTGAAGTATAACGTTCGCAAAGCAGCTGCCAGGGGAAAAAATATGTTACCTCGTTTCTCATAGTACATTTTCTTTTACCTGTTTCCACAGTTTATCAGTCCGCAAGGTGGCCTTCGAAAATCCCAGTTGAAGTAATGAACGAAGCGACCATACGGAAATAGTATCTGAAAGAAAAAGAAAAATGCTTGATCAATGCAAGAAAGGAAAGAAGACGGAACCTTTTTGGGCTTTACAAGACTCCCATCAGAAGTTACGTTGGATTCGTCCGACTTAGATTCGGAAGTTTGCAAACACAACTTCTTCACCTCCACTTCTGCTGGTGCTGGCTTAGGACTGATAACATGAGCTCGAGGAGAAGCTTCGGTGTTCTTAAGCTTCTTGGTTCCTGGAACTGCCAAAGAGATGGGCTCAGACTTGGGCTTGGGCGTGGGTTTCTCCGCCCCCGCCACAAGGCATTCATTCTTGTGACCTTGCCTCCAATGCGTGACTTGGCACTTCGAAGAACTGAAAGAAGAAACTCGTCATTTTCCTAGTTCCAAGAGAAGAACAAGGAAAGAACTAGCTTACCAGTAGTGAATCGATTTGCAACGCGAGCAGCGACTGTTTGTTGGGCTGTCACAGACGGCACACAAGCTAGCGGCTGCTAGTTGCTGTTGCTGTGGTGGATTCGGCGACGAGATGGTGGTAGAGTTTCGCGGAGTAGCCAACATGGAAGTGTATTCCTGCTCGGCTAGCTTCTCGTGTTGTTCGTTCTCGGCCGCTAGAATTTGCTGGAGCCGCTGGAGCTCGATCTGCCTTGCTGCCCGGATTCTCACCTGGTGGATCAGACCCAAGCTCACCAGCGCGACGATCACGAGTGTCAACAGCAGCGCTGGAACATCCACTTCCACGCGCTCATGCATCTACGTTTGTCCCTTGCCCCGGAGGATGTGGCAAGAGTGGCGAGGCCGTGATAATCCAGCATCCAGTCCAAGAAATTGCCGAGGGATCGAATATTTCCTTCTTCCGGTGGATTCGCGGTGGATTTCGCCGCGGAAGCTGGACGATCACGGCAATTCCAGGGAGCTGTGGCGATGGCGGCGACCTAGCGGGGAGAGGAAGAATGCACCTTGCGGAGGATTTCCAAATGCCTGGAGCGCTCCATGCCGTGGCAGCGCCGGGGAATCCTTGGAACTCGGGCGCTGCCCGGGAAAAACCTAGATAGAGAACTTAGGGCTTGCGCAAATGAAAACCAACAAGAGAGCCTGGACGGGCTTGACGGCCTCCCTGACGAATTAAAGATGTCCCGAGATACGGGGAATATACGTGGCATCATTTTAGGTCTTCGGATTGGTGAGAGAATGGGCGCGATCCATGGCGCTGGAGCTCGAGATCCATGGCGCTGGAGCTCGATTCGGGGGAAATCTTGATGATTTCGATGGGATTTTGACAGGATTGAGCTAGATGGACAAGGATAGAGTCGTGGTAGCGCAGCTCCTGCTGGATGGAACGCGCGTCAAGGCGTCTTTCAGCTCCTCGGGGGTGCTGAAATGGGACGGCCATGGGATCAGCGCCGGGAGCCTCATCGTCCAGAAGGACATTCTGGGATTCACGGACAAGCCGATCACGATCGTGCTTCACACCTTCCAGTTTGCGAGCACGGGGTGCTGTGGAGGCAATCAGCGCAAGAGGAAGGACGTGACCTTGGAATTCGAGCAGCGGGAGGCGTACAAGCTGTGGTGCGATGCCATCCAAGAGTGTTTGGATCGATCAGGTAAGTAGATTTTCTCTTTTGGTTTTCTAGAACAAGCTTGAGGAATTATTTTTCAGGGAGGCCGAAGAGATTGGTCGTTTTTATCAATCCCTTTAGTGGCAAAGGAGAGGCAGAAGAAGTCTACAAGCGCGATGTTTTGCCACTACTCGCGGCAGCTCGGATTGAGGTCACGAAAAAAGGTTTCTCTTTCGATTTCTTTGTTTTTTTCTTCTTCTCTTCTTAAACTTTTCTTTGTTTCAGTGACTCAATTCCAGCTTCATGCGAGAGACATGGCCAAATCAATGAATATCGCGCAGTACGATGGAGTTATATGCGTTAGCGGTGATGGGATTTTAGTGGAGGTGCGTTTTAAGCAATGAGCTCTTCTCGCAAACAAAACGCTCACGCTTCTTTCAGGTGTTAAACGGGCTTTTAGAAAGGCCAGACTGGGCTCGAGCAATCAAGATGCCGATTGGAGTCGTACCCGCAGGCAAGACTTTCGCCGTGCTTTTTTTGCTTGTTTTGTGTGAATGCGACGACTTTTAATGCTCAGGTTCTGGAAATGGCATGGCTAAATCCTTGTTAGATGCTGCTGGCGAGCCTTGCAATGCTCGCAATGCAACTTTCGCTATAATACGCGGTAATTCGTTTTGCTTGGTCTCTGAGCGGACTTACGCGATGCCACAGAGCATTGACACTTGTTTTGGCCGTTTTTGCAGGTCACACACAAGCGGTTGATGTCGCCACGGTTGTACAAGGACAAACAAAGTTCTACAGCATTCTCCTACTGACATGGGGTACATAGAATGCTTATATTCTCTTCATTAAAACACTGCTGGCTGTGTTTCAGGATTTGTCGCGGACGTGGACATTGAATCCGAAAAGTATCGGTGGATGGGAGGTTTGCGTTTCGACTTTTACGTAAGTTGTCTTCAAGAGATAGCTAAAATAACAAGCGAACTCCACTCCGTTTTGCTTGCAGAGCTTGATACGCATCTTACGCTTGCGGCGGTACAACGGTGTTTTCGCCTACGTTCCGGCGCCTGGATACGAGGACATAGGAGCACCTTACAATGGCGAGCTCGACGGCATGAAAGTCGAGTGTGACGACGAGAGAAGGGGACGCGCCGCGACCGGCTACTCGGGACCGGTTTCCTCGTCGCTGAGAAGCGACTGGAGGGTGATGGAGGGAGCATTCGTGATGGTTTTGCTGCAAAACGTTCCTTGGGCTAGTGAGGACTTTAACTCCGCCCCCGAGTCCAAGGTACGCACTCTAAGATCTCTCGCGTTTTCTTACGCTTCATAGCAGTTTGCAGATGGATTTCTAGACCTCATTGTTCTCCGGGACTGCCCTCGATACAAGCTCATCGGCCTCCTTACGAGCATACAGCAAGGGAAAGCGGTGGAATCCAAGTATCTCACGTATCTCAAAGTAAGTCACTCGAAGAACTTGGAACTCACAAGAAGAGCTTCTTTTTGATGCATAGGTGAAAGCTTTCCAAATAGCTCCCGGTGGAAGAGTGGGGAGCCGGATCCAAGGAGGATACATCGACGTGGATGGCGAGGTTGTGACGAGAGGCTGGGGCGCCGTGGGCGATGGTAAAGGAGACCCCATGTCCTATGGTCCGACCATTGAGGTCTGTGTGGAGCAAGGTTTGGCCACTCTTTACTGTCCGCCATAGACTTCTCCTCTAGGAATTTCCAATAACCTGTACAGGATCCATTACTTAAAGATCTGTAGAATATGCTAGGCATTCTTTTGTGTGTGTTTTTTAGGGGTTGTGAGATCGCCAGACAGATGATGGAAGCGATGGCTAAGAAGTATAGGGGTGATTTTACACTATTATGGGAAGGTGGCCATAATAGATGAATTAAGTGGGAGAGAGTAATACCCAGTCCCGCAGAACAATGAGATCTAGAAATCCAAGGGGAGTAAAAACAGATAATATAATTGGCTTTGGCGAAAATAAATCTCACACCGTCCATGAACCATAAGTGAACATCTCAAAGTAACGGTCAAGGAAGACTTTCCAAAAAAGGTTTTTTTTTGCTTTTGATTGCGATGGAGGCGATTGCCCGGGAGATGATGGAAGGGCTGGGCCATAATAAGAACTATGTGGGCGATTTCACACTGGGGAAGATGGGTATGATCGATGAACTAAGTGGAAGAGAGTATTACCCCCTGAGCTACACAGCAAAGGATTTGCCGGTGCCAGTTGAGGGTTATGTGGCGACTCATGGGAGATATTTCCCTCCGGATGCAAGAGGTGTGAGGGGTTTGGTTGTCTTTGTTATTGACGATGATAACGACGAGGCCATGGAAGTGCGGATCCAAAGGGTACCTTCTCTGGATTTTAATTTTTTTTTTCTTTTCTTATTTTCACCTTTTTCTCCTTCAGGTGTCTAAGGATGGCCAAATTCTGGAAGATTATAGAAACTATTCTTCAGCAGATGTTGATTGGCAAAGTTTGTTTATCTTGCAAGAACAACAAGACAGGTCCGAAGCGTTGATTGACGAGTCCCTCAAGAAAGGCTACATTGTTATATGATTTGTTATCTTTTTGCTAATCTCGAGAAATGTCTTGGAAGTGAGTTGACCGTGGTCCAAATACCATCTAATTTGATATGCAAGTTTGTGAAAAAAGAATTTTTCTTATCCCTTGCAATGCTGAACGCAACTTTCGCTATGATACTTTTTGCTTCTCTCTCCTTTCGCATTGTCTTCTGTTCATAGCAGTTTGCAGACGGATTTCTAGAGCTCATTGATCTCATTGGTAATTCGTTCTGCTTCTAGAATTTCTCTTACCAGTATGCCAGAAGAAAGTGACCAAGAGGTAAACTAAACATGATTTTTTATTCACTAGATAGCCGAAGGAGCTACTAGTGAATAAACATAAAGAGAGTACATTCTAGACAATGTAGCGTTTCTTGATGAGATTGTCAATCAACGCTTCAACTCTGTCTTGGTGTTCTTGCCAATCAACATCTGGTGACCAAAAATTTCTTAAAGCTTCCAACACTTCACCATCCTCAGACACTTGAGAAAAAACAAGTGGAGAAAAAACAAAATCCAGATAACATATCCTTTCCACCCTCGGCTTCGCGTCAACAATAAAAATGATCAAAGCCCTCACACCTTTTGCATCCCGAGGGATAATTCACACTACTTTCAAATGGCACTGGCAAATCATTTGCTGTGTAGTTGAAGGGGTAGCACTTAGGTCATCTTTCCAACTATAAAATCGCCCTACTTCTTGGCCATCGCTTCCATCATCTGCCTGGCCATCGCAACCCCTCAAGAAAATAAAAAACCTTATTTCGTAAGAGAGAAAATAACCAGTATATTTTACAGATCTTTAAGCTGCTATGGTGGACAGAAAAGAGTGGCCAGACCTTGCCCTCTTGTCACAACTATACCATCCACGTCTCCTTGGATTGCTCCCCACATTTCCACTCGGAGCTACTTGGATTCAAAACCTCTTCTTGTAAGTTCCAAGTTCTTCTGAGTGATTTACTTTGAGATATGTGAAATACCTGGATTCCACTGCTTTCCCTTACTGTATGCTCGTAAGCAGGCCGATGAGCTATTAGTCCCGGAGAACAATGAGATATAGAAATCCATCTGCAAACTGCTATGTAGCACTCTCCAGCCAGGCTTGTGCGAGGACACACGTATTCACCCGGCAGCATCTATTCACAAAGATTTAGCCATGCCATTTCCCAGAACCTGAGCATTAAGAATGGTCGCATTCCAACAAAACAAGCAACACCTGAGAGATGCCTTTTGTTTCCGAAAGTTCATTGCTGAAAACGCACCTCGACAACGCAAATAACACGGACTTGGCCATGTCTTGAGTCGCCTAAATTAAAAAATTAAATTAAATTACAGATGAGAAGAAGAGACACTTTTTTTCGTGACCTCAATGCGGGAGTAGTGGCAGCTTGTATGACAACGATCAATCTCCCTGAAAAACCATAAAGAGAAGATCTACTTACATGATGGAGCACATATGCTCAATCCTTGGCCTACCTATCAAAATCCCAGCCGGCTCTCCCAGCACCATCGAGCATATCCCCTTCCAAGAAGGATAGGTTGATAGCTGATAGCAGTGGTGTGATGCAAATGTCTCAATTCCAGGCCGCAATAAAGAAAGCTCTTTATAAAATTCAACGTAAGTTTTCTCTTTCATTTTCGTTGTTTTTTTTCGTGCTAGCTGAAAATGCTGGTCTAGCCAAGAATTGTCAACGGGCATACGTAGATCAGTGTTTAGCTACTTCTGGTTCTTTTCTTTCGTAAAACGCAGCGAGGTTTTTCATTTATGTTGGGGGTGTACATGAGTGAAGCCTTGCACGTCCCTTCCATACAGGTCTCTGTCTAGTTTGGATAGAACCTTCTTTTGTCTTGAAAGCTGGCAGGAGTGTCGTAAGTACACTATGCTTGCCGGCAACTGCAATCCCAATCATCCCATAGAGCATACTGATTTGGTTATCGCCACTGAGGAGGCCAAAAGGTGTGAGCATCTGGTTGACAACCAAAGTACAGCATCTTCCTGTAAAGGTGAGAGCTTCCTGGATGCGGTCGAGCGTCTCGATGCCAAGCCTGAGCTCCTGGATCTCGATACAGAGTTTCCAGACAATTGCATCTCTCATCGATTGACTTTTAATTCTCACGTTACAAAAATAGCATGGCTAAATCCTTGTTAAATGCTGCCAGGGAGCCTTGCAATTCTCGCAACGCAACTTTCACTATAATACAGGTGATTCGTTTTGCTCCCCGAGCAGACTTAGGCAATACTACAGACTCTGCATTGACACTTCTTTTTGCAAACAAACGGTACATGGAATGTCTATATTCTGGTTGTGTTTCAGAATTTGTACAACATTGATCCGGAAAGTATTCAATTTTTATGTAAATGGTTTTCAAGAAGCTAAAATAAGCTGCCACCAGAGCTACGCTTTCGGCGGTACAACGTGTGTCTTCGCCTACGTTCCAGAGCCTGGATACGAGGATATAGGAGCGGATTTTAACTCGAGTATTAAAAAGATTGCTGTAGAATATTCCGGGAGTAAGTCACTTAAAGGATTGTTGTAGAATGTTCCTGGAGTAAGTCACTTTTGGATGCATAAAGGATTGCTGTAGGCATTGTTTTAGGTGGAGGTCGCGATGGAGTGGAGGCGATTGCCAGGGAGATGATGGAAGCCATGGCCAAGAATTATAAGGGCGATTTTATAATTTGAACTAAGTGGGCGAGAGTACTACCTCTTGAGCTACACAGCAAAGGATTTGCCAGTGCCATATGAAGGTAGTGTGGCGACTCATGGGAAATTTTTCCCTCGGGATGCAAAAGGTGTGAGGGCTTTGATCGTCCGAGGATAACGACGAAGCCATGGAAGTGAGGACGGAAAGGGTATGTTATGCGGCTGCTATGGCATTTTTGTTTCCACTTTTTAATTTTTTTCTCTTTTAGGTGTCTGAGGATGGCCAAGTGCTAGAAGCTGTAAGACATTTCTGGTCACCGGATGTTGATTGGCAAACATTGTGTGCCTGGCAAGAACACCACGACAGAGCTGAAGCGATGATCGATGATTCCATCAAGAGAGGCGAGATTCTTTTGTGCTATTACTCTCTAGAAAACGTCTAAAACATATTCTCCTTCTACCATATTGGTAAGAGAAGTTCTTCGAAAATTCCAGCAGCAGCAACTCAAAGTGGGATTTAACATTTGAATATGGATAAATATCTGGCTCCACCGCAGTGTGGATCATTGTCACATGCTTCTGCGGGGGCATCTTCTTCCATTGCCTTCTAATCCTCTTGCCGCGCCCTAAACTTTGAATCAGTGCCTTGGCGGCACGCTGACGTGGCAGCAATGAATGCATTCTCTTCAGAGATCGAGCATATCCCCTTCCCTTCCCGCCTAAATTCGCCCTAGTCGTGCCCAAGTATCTTTGGTATATTCTCCACATCTTTAACTTCACGGCCAGCAGAACACCGAGGGAGAAGAAGATCTCTGCCTAGGGTTTTACAGATCGATCGATAGATTTCTAGGCGCTTGGCAGCATTGAGAAATCATCCACAAGGTACATTCTTTCTTCCCTTGCTAGGTCGCCATCGCCATAGTTCACCGGGATTGTCTAGATCTGCGGCAGAATCCAGCGTGGGATTGATCGCTCAGGCTCTCTAGACCGGGATTTCTTGGACTGGATGCCGGATTATCACGGATTCACCTCTTTTGCAATAGCATCGATGCATGAGCGCGTGGAAGCGACTGTTCCAGCGGTGCTGTTGGCGTGATCGTCGTATTGGAGAGCGTGGTTCTCATCCACCAGCTGAGAATCCGGGCAGGCAGGGTAGATCGAGCTCCCACGGCTCCAGAAAATTGGTAAGCTATCTTCTAACTTATAGATCGACGTGCATAACTCATGAAGCTCCTCTTGCAGGAAGGAACAAGCCGAGCTTCCACTATCTCGCCGCCAAATCCACAGCCAACTGTGACTAGTTCTAGCAGAGGAAAGCATTGGTACGTTCTTCTTTTAAACTGGGAACTGACAAGTTTCTATCCAGTTCTTAGTTCCAGACACTAGACTTCGAATGCAATGAAAGAGAGAAGAGAGAATCTGGACATTCTCAAGCCCGAGATCATTGACATGGTTGTCAAGAAGATGAAGCATAACACATATCTCTCGCTCGAGTTCTTTACGCTGGCCATGAGAATCTCCAGCTTCCGGCACGACGTGGTGATGGTCATGATCCTTGGAGTCGATGGCAACTATTTCATGGCGATCACAGACATGCCCCGTGGAAACGATCTCTACGTGAAGACGAAGTATGACAGGAAGCTGCGGCCTTCACCTCGTCCCAGACAGCAAAAAGTCCCCGAAGCAGGCTTGGATAGGTTCAGCATGGTAGCAGTCCAACACCAGCTCGGGAGGAAGACTTACACAGCCGACGAGCAGGAAGGCAACTACGTGGATCTGATAATGAGTCACAAGCAGTACAGGCAGGAGCTCCATCTTCACAGAGGGAAGAAGCAGTGGAACGTCCGTGCAGTCAGGGACAAGTTTCTGGTCTACGAGACACTTCCTCCCGCGAGTGACACTGGTGATGATCCTCTGGTGCTTTGCGGTCGCGACAAGATCGCCATTGTTCAGCCATTGTCAGTAACAGTGAACAACCAGGCGAAGAATGTCTCGTGGAACTCGTTGGGCTTGCAGGAATGCAAAGAAGAAAGGGAGAACTATATGGTGCCGAGCAGTAAGGAGGGTCAGCCGGGTTTAGTTCCAGGCAAAGGAGCTCTAGTCTTCCACAAGACTGTGAAGAAAGGAGGAGGGAGCTGGAGCTCCAAGACGGTTGCGAAGCTGGATAACAGGCTCAAGACTGGGATAACGCACCCCTACCAGCTCTGCGTGGTTCTCAAGAAGCTCAACGATGCCTCTCTCTCGCTCAAAATCTTTACGTGGGCCAAGACAATGCAGCACGACCTGGTGATGATCATGATCCTGCACAACTATCTCATGGTGATCACAGAACTGCCCCGTGACGACGATCTCTACGTGAAGACGAAGCATGGTAGGAAGCTCGGGCCACCACCTTG